TCACGCATGCTTAGTGCCTGACACAGTCATGTCATTGTGTATCATGAGTCAGAGATGGAGGTACTTCAGGTTAGTAGATTTTTGTTTTCATATTTTTGTTGAATTCTTTCTCCAGGCTGATGTTTCCTGTTGGGTTTGTGGAAAGTGTACAACAAGGGAAACAAATGCTTTGTTTTGTTTTCAGGAGGCCTGAGTTGCTGATGAGAAAAGAGTTGAGGGTGGGCTGAGGAACAGAGTGACACTCCCTCTCCTCCCGGTGATAATTGGTGAACAATGAAATCAATTAGGTGTATAGGTATTTGCCCAATAGAAGTTAGACAGCCCAAACTGGCTAGTTATGCCCAATGGAAAGTACTGAATTCAGCTGCAGAATTAGGTGCTTTACCAAGTAGAAGCAGCTTAGAGCAATCAGAGAAATCAGTCCTATGTTGAGATATGAAAAGAATATATTATCTTTTATTTCTGAATCTTTTCTATGTTAAGTTGTGTAGAGCTAAAATTAAGTTTCAAGCACCAGGACTTAAGAGTGTGAGTGGTTCTGTGGGATCGTTATTCAGAGAGGTGTCTAGATACTGCTAGAGTGGCTGAATTTGGCAGGAAAAGACACAGAGCCAGGATTTGTCATCCGAGGGTGTTCTCCATAATGGTTCCATGTGAGAGCCCATGATTGGGTTAACAAATTATAACAGACCACAGCCGCCTGTCAACTTTAATAAGAAAAATCTGTGCTTAGTAACTGCTTTGCAAGCAGGGGTCTGTGCATCCTCACCCAGTCTCCTTGCCTTAAAAAGCAGAGACAATTGTTTGCTTGCATAGTTGAGGTTTTAGATAGCACTCTGCTCATTGCAATGCAAGGACCCAGGCCCTCAGCTATAAACGCTGGGCTTCAGGGCTGTTAGATAGTCTGTTATCCCCAAGACAAGGACCTGGCTGGTCGGGTGGTCTGCTTTGTAATTAATATATCTACAGAATGTATCTTGTTCCCCTCACCCCATGACTTCCCTAAAGATCCACTAAGCCTTTGTACTCATTGTGGATTCTACAATCTCTAACTCGTTCTGCCTTTCCCCAAGTTGCTGCTTACTGTCACACAACTGTTAATGATTTTTTCCTTTGATTATACACAATAAATATGGGAGCATTTGAGAGGCTCATTGAGTTGGCTTCCTACTCCCCCTCTCGCTCTGTTAACTTTGCCCACAGAATATTGAGTAATTCATTCTGTGTCGGTAAGACTTCTGTCAGCCAGAACCCACAGTTCCAGGTGAGAACGATGCAGGCTTTCTCTCTCCTACCCGAGGGAGAGAGAAAAGAGAATTGAGATCTGCTCCCCTGTGGTCCCTTCCTGCCCCAGGGCCACTGCAGTTCACCTGAAGCCTTCTGGCCTCTGCTCACAGGGCCTCTGTCCCAGGACTTACCGCAGCCTCTTCTTCCCTTGTCAACATTTCCCGTGCCTTTCAGAAGTTGGTCTCTTGTCTGCAATTCAACCCTGGCAGATGTGATGGTGGTCAGCGTGCTGGTGGGCAGTCACCTGGGGTCTCCCAGGAGCCATGCTGATTCTCCTGATTCTCTCATTCAGGGTTACAGAACTGTCAAGCAGCGGACGAAGCCCTTTCACGTGTGGCCAGCACAGCATTGCATCACTTTCATTTTATTTTTGAATTTTCAGTGGAGAAGTTATTTGTAGCATAGTGTTCCAGATTTTCGGCCTCCTGCTTTCCTCACCACCATCTCCTTGTTGGCTCTGGTGCTTGTTTTAAGAACCAGGTTCCTTCTCTGGTCATTTCTAGCAGCTGGGCTTGCCGAATGCTTGATCTGCATTTGAAGCAGAATGCTTCTTCATGATTTCAAACTGATTTCCCTTGTCATTTCTGAATATTTCGTGTACACTCAGCAACTGTTTCAAGTGAAATGCTCTTGTGCAATTTCAGTTAACTCACATTTGCTGATCTGCTGCGTTCATGCTGAGGGCAGTTTCTTCTTCCTGTAATAAAAATTAGCAATTTGCATTTACTGTGGGAAGGTACTCGCCTGAGGTGCTTTTGTTCTTAACAGTTTTAATACAACTCACAGATTAAAATGAACTGCTATTTTTACTCTCTGCCGAGAATTGTGCATCCCAGTCAATCTTAGAATATTTTCATCCCCCTAATAGGAAGCCCGTAAGCATAAGCAGTCATTCCCATCTTCCCCATCCTCCCTCCAGCCCCAGGGAGCCACTCTTCTCTCTCTGTGGGTTTTCCTGTGCTGGACATTTCATGTAAATGGAGTCACTTC